TCCAAAATGCGAAAAACCGATTCATTGGGACGAATTTCTCCAACGGATAAACACTTTGACACAACCAAAAGGAACATATCTGCGCGAGAACAAGGTGTCACTTTGAATTGGAATTTTCAACGAATACCCAAATTATGCAAACATCAAGATACCATTTTCCACTTCCAGTAAGCCTAGACAGCCGAATACCGTTCTCTGACTGAGCCTTTCGTAGCCCGTCAACTCTAATTCATGCAGAAGCCTTACATTGCATTGAGGTCGAGAATCATAATCTTGGTGAACCTTTTCAAACTGCAATAGCGTCGTAGCACCATTTTCTCGTTTCGAGCGAAGTACTAGTGAGCGAGGATTATTTCGACACAATACCTGCATGGCACGAAATTGCTAGGTCCGACACTCAACCACGGTAGAAATATTTATAAGGTAACGATTGATCTACGTGCATAATTTTATCACGTGAATAAATAATAGCAGGCACTGTATATAATGTATTCAGAAAACACAGATTTACTTAAAAGATGTCAGATAAAACTCCTGAAATAATCAACACAACCGAATCTCCTATTTCCGATACACCGAATGAAAGATTACTCGAAAAACTTTTGGGATCAGTTGACGATCAGGTATAAATTGTGTTTGATTCATTTTAAACCATTGTTCAATATTGACTCTATGATATAGGCTTTGAGTGAAGTGGACGACGACACTTTACTAGGTGACGAGAATTGGGAAATCTCTTTTGACGAAGTGAATGGTAAAATTTTTCTAAACTTTCTCTTTGAGTATTTCAAATTTTTAATCACATGCTTTTGTTTTGTTTTCCTAGATCATATTTCCGAATTTCAGGAAGATGAATTTGTGCGTGAGGCGTTTACGAAGGTATTCCAAATTCCTCAACCGCGTAACAATTTCATTTGGTCAATTAAAGTAAACGATCCGTTGCACTTTTTCTAAAAGGGGATGGACCTGCGAGAATACGCACGAAACATTGAAAAAGAATTAGGCGTCGTCGAGAAAGAGCATGAAGTCGACTGTATCCTTCAATAACCCATCATTTTTTGCACGCTTTATTTAATTTATCACCAATACCTTAACAAGGATGATCAGATGTAAAACAAGCCAAAGAATTTGTCGAGCTACACAATCAAATTCAAGTAAATGAAATATATCTATGTGTCCCTCAACATTGAACGCGCAGGTTTGACGCAAAATTGAACCTAATCAGTATTCTGCTGATGTTGAAGACTTGTGATCAGATTCTAGCGACGATGGAAAATATGTTAAGCGTTTTTCAAATGGATTTAGGAAATATCAGCACAGAAATTCAGACCTTACAGGATAAGTCTTTTTCAATGAGGATCAAGCTTAAGAATCGAACGGTGAGTCTTTATCGGCTGCTTCTCTTCCCTTGCCTATATCATTGCTGTAAACGAAATAATTCAATCAGGCGGTCGAGAATAATTTAAACGATGTTCTAGAGGGAGTTGTGATTCCGCCACCGATGATCAAGTAATAGAAAGTTATTTATTCAATTATACACGTATTTATTTATAATTTCTTTTATTTAATTAATTAATAAACAAACTCTTTCATAACAGAAAAATCACGGAAGACGAAGTGGACGAGGCATGGCTCGCTTATTTGACAGAGCTCAATAAAAAGATGACATACGTAAAGCAAAATCAAAATAAGAACATTAAAGCAATCAAAGATGTTGGGCCAGAATTAGAAAAACTGAGACTTAAGGCATGTGTGAAGGTCAACTGTTTGCATAATAAATTTCAAAAATATTTTGATTAAAACAAGTTGATTCGCTTTTAGGCTGCTGAAAAGATTCGAGACTTTCTTTTGAACAAAATACGATCCCTTCGCATACCAAACACAAATGTTCAAATCCTTCAACAATCGGTCCTGCTGAAATATAAGACACTTTATCAATTTGTGATGGAGAGATACAGTGATGTTGCGTTTGAAATAATGCACACCTACATAAACACAATGAGATGGTATTTTTTCAACCATTTTGAACGATACAACCGATCATTGCAAAAGCTTCAAGTGAGTCCTAATTACTAAATCATGATCATTCTTTTTGATTGAAGATTGATTCACTTTCCCCTCCTTTCATTTACACAAGAATCCAATTGGAAATAAGTTTTCTATGCTCGGATACGATGAAAATGCTAGAAAGGGTAAAAATCATCACATACTATATCACGGGTGCAACCTATTTTGAGGGCAAAATTTAAACTAGTATTTCTTTTGTAGGTGGCTTATTTGGATCAAGTAAGATTGCTCTACAAGAAAAGACCAATTTTTTTGCACTGGGCGATCGGATCGAAACGCTTCGTAATCAAGATACCGGCGTTATCTTGGCTCACGTTGCCGAAAAAAAAAATCAGGTATCAAATTTGAAATCCGTATGCACACCCTCCACCGGGTGTAATCTACTTATTAATTAACAATTTTGTAAATATGTATAATAGAAATATCCATACGAAGCTTTATTTAGAAGTTTCAACTTAACCTTCATAGATAATGCTAGTTCAGAATATCTTTTTATAATTGAGTT